TAATGTGATAAAGTTTATTTTAAAAGTTGATATAAGATGATATATGTATGTGTTTAACATTTTAATAAACTACTTGCTATTATTCATTATGTAAAATAAAATAAAAAATATCAAAAATCCAACTGCCAAATTAAATTTTCAAGAAATGAAATCAAACATTTAAATTACGATCAACTTTACTTTTACAACCGCGAACTTAACACTTAATTCTGCTCGTAGATTTACAACGCGGAGAAAATTCCGTATTAATAAAAATACGAAGCCAGTAACGCAAAGCCAGTACGACCGCACGTCAAGCCTGTGCACTGCCACGAGATCTGTACCCATGGAGTGCTTTCACTTTCGACCACCAGATGTCATAGCGACGAATGTCAGATCCCAATTGCGTGAACTATTTTAACATATATATTAGTTATTTATGCCTTCCAATACTCAAAATAACTGCTATATTTTTTAAACTTTTTTTGTTAATAACTTTTTAATGAATAACGAACGACGGCTAAAACCTTCTGAAGGTCACTCGGGGTCATAACCTTGACAACATATATCAAGGTCATTGAAATCGGTGAGGTCGCCCTTAATCTGAAGTTTTACCCAATTTTTCTACATCATAAATGCCTATGTGTTTTCTAATTTCCGCAAATTTTGAGATATTGGGCCATTTTTTTGTTTCTCGTTGGAGGAGGAAAATGCCTAATGCATACCCTAGGGCCGGTCCCTACCTAGACAGCACATAAAACTAAAAGATGACGAAAATATGTTTTTTTATAGTCATTTTTTTGGCTAGACGAAAAGATTTCTAAAAAAAAAACATCTTTTTGGCTACACGAAAAGTCGACTGTTTAATTGAACGAAAAACCATCTAAAAGATGTCTTACATGACTCTTTTTCTAATGCGCATGCGCAAGTTATGGAACAGCCATTTAACCTAGGCTAAAAGTAGGATCGACTTAGGCTTTAGAGCGTTGAAAAATTATGGTAGCGTTCAGCAGAGAAAGCAGATCAGTGAGCGTTTAGTGATTATTGTTTCTGATTAGTATGTATTATACGTTCTTCTGGATCTATCAAAGGTCTAAAAGAATACTTCAAATCACAGAGCACTCACTGATCTGCTTTTTTTTGCTGAACATAACCTAAAATTTTTCAACAAAGCGGAGGTCGCAAATTGACGCTAAGCAAATCCCTTTGCGATCTCGTTTTTAATCGTAACGCTATATCATGTGTAGGTGTTTATTTTAAGACTAGAACTTATTGCGTAAAATATATGTACCTATGTTATAACATGGGTTGATTCATGTGATGTGTTATTGTACGTGCAATCTATATAAAAGTGACTATATTGAGTATGTTTCCATCAAGGGTTAAAATCGGGTCAGACAGAGTCAAATTAGGGTGAGCACTCTTACGGTGGAAACACCAAACATGAATCTGAACCCTACTCACAAAATTTTAAGGTAAGGTCCAAATGAGGTTTGGTGGAAACATCGACATATAGAAAACAGACCCATAGTATAGACTACGCGATTCTTACATGAAAGCCTTCAAAAAGTGTCTGGTAGAGTTGACCTCTACCTCGTTCCTTCTTTGTCTATATACTATTGGATAGAAAGAGACAGCTTGACCTCTACCAGTCGCTATCTCTTTTCTTTCACCGGTCATATTTTTATATCACACGTGCGTGGAAAGTGGCCCATTCCGCGCGCGCCCTTTGTGCGACAAATAGCCAATTTTCCACGCGAGAAATTCCCCACTCGAACCTGCACGCAGTGCGGGAATATCTCATTCCTGCACGGCCTTCAGTGAGAAATCTCTCGCGCGTGCGGAATCGGCCATCCGTCGCACAGATGACGCGCGCGCAATAGGCCACTTTCCACGCACTTTGTAATATAAAATAGAATGTGTAACACGTGCGGGTTGAGAATTGGATACGAGTGCGGGTGATCGCACGAGCCGAAGGCGAGTCCACTCCGCACTCGTGTCCAATTCTCAACTTCCCGCACTTGTTACACAAATAACTATTCTATACCTGAGCGCAGTCCATACTATATGTAGATAAAAACGACAAAAGTCGAGTTAAGGTTAGTGTTGCCAACGGGATAACCTTGTGCTGATTTTCGACGATTTTGAAATAAAAAATAATTTCTGCATATTACTTGGTACTGTAAAATTAACATTATTGTTCTCAGATTTATGATATTTTATGATGTTCTTTGTTAGTCGCATAATCTTAATATCAGGCTACTGTTGTAAACAGCTGATATTTTGCACAGTTGGTTACGTTCAACCTTGCCGCAATCCTGGTGTAACTCTGATCCGGTGGAAACAGATAACCTGATCTAATCCAATTCTGACTCGACTCTAACCCAATTCTAACCCTCGGTAGAATATTCATTGAAATAAAATGTTTTTTTGTTGCAATAAAATATTTTTTTAAATTATAACTTTAAGTTTTATTAACATAAACTTTTTATTTATAAATCAAATTTATATAAAATATAAAGAACGAAAATATGTTCACAATACAATTTTAAAAGATGGCTAAAATATGTGTAATATCAGATGTCTTTTAGTCATCTTATAAATTTTGGCTATAAGACGACATTTAGTGGGACATAAGTCATCTTTTAGTCATCTTTTAGACATCTTTGTCTGGGTAGGGTTATGCCGGGCTTGCACCGGCTAAAAACCTCTTATTAATTTTATTACATTTATTTACTATTAATTAAATTTTATTATTTTAAACAAATTTGGCTTCCACTACACATCCTTCTTTTTAGATCATCCTTAGCGAATGGAATATATACACACATACAGACATTTTTTAAAAATGTGCTTTTTCAACGTTTTCGAACATTCTGAACACATTGGCATAGAAAATTGAAAAAAATATAGCACCGGTTTTAAGAAAATATGTCTATTACTGAAAAATTAAACTCATCGTCACCATCCTCGAAAAATGATAAAAATTTTAGAACCGGTTTCCAAAAAATCGGTTATGAAAAATTATACACATCATCGCCATCCCCAAAAAATTAGAAAAATTTGGGCACTGTTTTGGAGAAAATCGGTTCATTAATTAAATGAATAGTTTGCAGTCAGAAAAATTTTAGCACCTGCAGTTTCCAAAAAATCGGTACATTAATGGAAAATTAAACCCAGATGAAAAATTCTACACATCATGGCCATCCCCAAAAAATTAGAAAAATTTTGGCACCGGTTTCAAGAAAATTGATCCATTAATATTTATTATTTTTCAAAAAATTTGAAAAGTTTTGAAACCGGTTTTTAAAAAATCGGTAACGAAAAATTATCTATAAAAAGAAATTCAGCTTGATATCTCAAAATTTGCGAAAATTAGAGCAATTACGTACATGTTTTAAAACAGAAATTGGAAACTTTTTTATTATTAGCAATTTTTCTAATTTTATTACATTCTTTAGTTCTTTCTACTGCTATTTCATATATAATTCTTTAAGATTTGGTCAATTAATTCCCGAAAAATTGGAAAAATTTTGGAACCGGTTTAAAAAAAAAAACGGTAACAAAAAATAATACACATCACCGCCATCCCCGGAAAATTCTACCTCTGTTTTTCATATATGTATAATTTTTTAAGATGCGGTCCGTTAACAAATGAGTAGTTCGCGGTCAGACAGACAGACAGACAGACGGACAGAACGTCAGGTACTTATAATAATAGATAGTGGTAGAAAAAACTGAAGAATATATGTATATAATAGAATTTAAGGACTTGGTTAGTGAATGCGTGTGTGAGTGGATGCGGATTGCGAGCGTTGCGTGGGTAATTGCGAGCGACTGCGTTCACGGATAGATTCGGAGTGTAGGATAGAAGGAGAGGGGAGGTAAACGGCGGAGGAGGCGACAGAAGTGGAGGGAAGTAGAGAGACGTAAGGGGTGAGAATTAATTAAAGGGGTAAAGAGACGACTAAGTGAGAGGTTAGGATAGAGGGACGAAGGGAAGGGCTAGGGATAAATAGCCCAGCAAACAAAAAAAGATTGAAAAGAATTAAAACGGGATTGCTAGGAATTCAAGTAAGGACTTTCCGAATTCCATTTTGTCCAAAAAAGAGATCGAAATAGTTTCAATATCATGGAATTCCTTATTTTGGAAAGAATTTGTCTTTTTTGAATCCCATCCAATTCCGACACAAAAACGTAACAAAATGAATATTTTCGTGGAATTACTGAATGCCAGGTTAGGGATTGGAAAGTTTCGTCATGAATTCCATTGAATACCATTGATTCCGTTAACGAAATGAATACCATTGAATGCCAAATTAGGAATTAAAAATTTCCGTATTGAATTCAATGGAATTCAATGGAAATTATTTCAATCCCTTTTTTGGACAAAATGGAATTCCTGGCAATCCCGTTTTAATTCTTTTTAATCTTTTTTCGTTTGCTGGGAGGGGATTTCGTGCGCTTTACATACGGCATAGGGCATAGAGTAGGGTGACAAGTGAGAGGTTGCGAGTAAGGCCGAGTCCGCATGTAACGCGGCGGGCCCGTGCGTATTGTCAGGCGATTTACAACATGTAGAAGGACGAGGAAAGAGGGAGAAGAGGATCGAGGAAAGATAAATTGACGGAGAGAGAGAGATCGATATCAACTAGCATATTGGAATTTACGTATGATAAGAGGAAGAGGGACGAGCTAGAGAGACAAACAGCAGAGATATTCAAAAGGAGCAATATGATGGATAGAACACCACCTGGAGAGAAGAGATTGAAAGAGAAGGAGAGAGATACGGAAGAGAATGGAAAGAGGAAGAGTGAAGAGGGAGCTATGATAGCATTATTGAGAGAATTAAAAGAAGAAATGGCAAGTACAAGGATCGAGATACGGGAATTAAAGGAAAGCTGGAAGGCTAAGAAGGAAAGAATGGAGAAGAAGATAGAGGAATTAAAAGAAAGAGTAAAAGAACTAGAGAGACAAGGAGCCAGAGGAAAAGGGAGGTTAGAAGAAAAGATAGAAGAAATAACGGAAAAAGTGAAAGAACGGATAGGTAGACAGGGAGGCAAGGGGGAGTCGACGGGCGAGATAGGAGAGAAAGTGAGAAGGTTGAAAAGGATAATGGACAAGAGAGAGAAGAAGGAAAGAAGGAATAACATAACCATAAGAGGACTGAGGAAGGGGAAGAGCAGCCTGAAGGAGGAGGCTAAAGAATTTCTGGAAAAGAAATTCGGGATCAAAAAAAATGTAAAAGGTGTTCAAGTGGTAAGCAGGAAAGTAAAGGAAGTAATAATAGTAGAGATGGAAGATTGGGAGGGAAAGGAAACAATAATGAAACGGAAGAGAAAATTGTTCGGGGGAAACATATTCATTAATCATGACCTGACGAAAGAAGAGAGAGATGTACAAAGGTTACTGAGAGAACGGTCAAGAAAGGAACGAGTGAAAGGAAAGAAGGTAAAAGTAGGATATAGAAAAATGTATATAGAAAATGAGATGTATGTATGGAATGAGGAGGCAGAGGAAATAAGGAAAAGGGAGAATTTTCAAAAATCGGCCGAGTGGAAGGAATAGATGTGCAGTAAAAGAGGGAGGCAAAAGGAAGAGGAAGAGGAGAGCAAAAGGAAACAAGGATACAAGCGCAGAACTAAAGATGATCTTCTGGAATGTGGCAGGGCTGAAGAAGAAGGACAGAGAATTCTGGGAATACATAGAAGGATTTGACATTATAGGACTATGCGAAACGTGGGTAGAAGAAAAGGAATGGGAGAGAATGAAAAGGAATATGTCAAAGAAATTTGTATGAAAATGTCAATACGCGATTAGAGAGAAATGTAAAGGTAGGGCGAAGGGAGGTATAATAACAGGCATAAGGAAAGAGATAGAGGAGATAGGTATTAAGGAAGCGGTATTTGTAAACGGAATGCAGGAGAGGAGGCTGAGGGTAGAGGGGGAAATATGGAGAATAATAACGGTATATAATGGGGAGAAAATGAGAACATTACGAAGAGAATTAGAGGAAATGATAGAGGAAAGGGAGGAGGAAATTCTATGTATAAGGGGAGATTTTAATGCAAGAATAGGGAGGGAGGGTAATAATTACGAAGGGGACAACGACGGGGAAAGACGGAGAAGCTCTAAAGACGAGATAATAAACACGAAGGAAAAGGAATTTTTAAAGATGCTGGAGGAGAGGGGATGGGAGGTAGGGAACGATAATATAAGAGGTGACGAGGAAGGAGAATGGACGTACTCCAAAGGAAGAGAAACATTGGTGGTGGACTACATGGTAGTGAATCGAGAGGCGTGGGATAGAGAGTGATCAAGCTAACGATAGGAGAAAGGGTGGAGTCGGACCACCAACCTTTGGAGGTAGAAATAAGGGGAGGAGTAGAAAGGTTGGAGGAGATGCAAAAGAAGACAAAGGAAGTGATACTGTGGGACGAAGAGAGTATCAAGAAGTATAAGGAGAAAGCGGAAGAGTTTTAGGTGGAGGGGGAAGAGGTGGAAGACGTCTGGGAAAACCTGAAGAAGGCAGTAGAGAAAAGTATGGTAAGGAAAAGGATTACGATAAAAAGGAAGAAAATAGGAGAGAAGGATTGGTGGGACAAGGAGTGCAAGAGAAAGAAAAGGAAGCTGAAGAGGACATATAAAAGATGGAGAATGGAAAAGGAAGGAAAGAAGGTATATGTGAAACTAAGAAGAGGATTTAGGGAGATGTGCAGAAGGAAGGAAAAAAAAGACTAGAGAAATATGAGGAAAAAGTCAAGAGCGCGAAAACAGAAGAGCAAATATGGAAGATAATTAATAAGGAAAGGATGAAAAGAGTACCAATTGAGGAAGATATAAAGATGGAGGAATGGGAGAATCATTTTATGCAGCTGTTGGGATGAAGTAAAGAGGACAGGAGAGAGGAGGTGGAAAGAAGAAGCAAGGAAGAAAATGGGGAGCTGGAGATTCAGGATCAAGAAATTGAAGAACAGATCAATAACTTAAAGAGGAGAAAGGCGGCAGGAGTAGATGGGATAGCAGGAGAGGAATGGAAGTTCAGTGACGGGCGGATAAAGGGAAAGCTGAAGGAAATCCTGAAAAAGGTGTGGAGAGGTGAAGGTTTCCCGGAAAAATGGAGAGTGGGGCTAATAGCCCCAATTTTCAAGAAAGGTGACCCGAAAAGTGTGGAAAACTACAGGGGAATCTCCCTGTTATGTACTGCGTATAAGATATACGCAGGAATATTAGCAGAGAGGCTAAGGAAGGAGGCAGAAGAGAAGAAAATTCTGCCGGAAACTTAAGCAGGTTTTAGGAAGGGCAGAGGGACGATGGACAACGTGTATGTGTTACAGCACGTTGTCAAGAGAGAACTGAGGAAGAAAGGAGGAAAAGTATATGGGTTCTTTGTGGACCTAAGGGCGGCCTTCGACAGAGTGGACAGAAAGATCTTATGGGAAGCAATGGAGAAAAGAGGAATAAGAAGAGAGATAATTGAAAGGATCAAGGAAATCTATGAAGGGACGAAGAATGCGGTTAAAGTGAGCGGAAAAGTCTCCAACTGGTTCTGGACGGAGAAAGAAGTAAGGCAGGCGTGCCCTTTGAGTCCGCTATTGTTCTCGATATTATTGAGCGCAGATGTGGAGGAGGAGATGAGGACAGGGCAGGCGGGCGACATGAGGGTTGGAGCAGAAAGGATATGGACACTAGCGTATGTAGATGATCTGGTGCTGCTGGCAAAAAGTGTGGATGGAATGAAGGAGATGATAAGGAGACTGGAGAGATACCTAAGAAGGAAAAACTGCAGTTGAACACAGAGAAGTCGAAAATTATGTGCTTTAGAAGAGGAGGAGGCAGAGGAATGGAGATGGGATGGGAATGGGAAGGAAAGAGACTGGAGGAAGTTAAGGAATACAAGTACTTGGGATACGAGTTGAGGAGGAATGGAAGCGACGACGGACAGATCAAGAGTGCAAAGAAGAAGACAAATATAGTGATGAGGCAGGTATGGGGGTTGGGGGAACGTAGGTTCAGGGATGACTTTAGGAGAAGGATGATATTATTTAAATATTTAGTACTTGGGGTTATAATGTATGGGGCAGAGATCTGGGGTTGGAGAGAAAGAGAAGAATTGGAAAAAATACATAAAAAGTATGTAAAGTGGACCCTTGGCCTCGACTCCTGTACGCCGGACTGTATAGTTTATAAGGAAACGGGGAGAGTAAAGCTAAGTACAATTGCGGGAAACAGAGCAGTAAGGTTCGAGGAAAAGGCTATAAAGATGGGGGAAAGAAAATTGGTAGTAGAATGCGTGAAGGAAAAAGAGAGTGAGGGACAATGTTGTGTGTTTTATAGGCAAAACGGATTTAGTTCAAAGAGTATAAAACTACTGAGGGAGAGAGAGGCGGATATAGGGCAAGTAATAGGGCAGAGAGAGAGAGATTGATTGATTGATTGATTTTATTATGCCCAAGCAATAGCTAAAGGGCAAAGAATGAATACAATATGCATTGAATACATGTAAATAGAACCTGTTCATGTTCATGCTCTCTCCCAAACAATACACACTTAAAACTAACTTACAACTAACTCGCCTTAAAAATTAACGCAACTTAAAACTAAGAGATTCACAAGAACAAAAGTCCAAAGGACCCATTACTCAGATTCAGACGAAAGCAAATACTCACGAAGAAGGCTTTTGAATAATGCAAGAGAAGATGCAGATGTAATTTCATCGGGAAGAGAATGCCAAAAATATATGGAAGAAAGTTGGAAGGAATTTCTATAGGTGACCGTTCTGTGAGGAGGAATATGAAAGATTTGAGGAGACAAAGCAGCAAGTCGGTCAGATCTTCTGAGTAATGGGTCAAGTGGAGTGAAAAGTTCACTTAAGTACAAAGGTGAAGACAAATAGAGTATCCGGTACATTTGACACCCGAGAAAGTACCGCCTTCTGTTATCCACCAAAAGCCATCCCAAGCGACGCCTATACTGAGTAATATGCTCATCCCGCCGCAAGTTATATATGAATCTGATGCAGCAGTTCACTAGTCTCTGTAATCTGGTGTTCAGTTCATCACTCAAGCCATGATAGACTAGGCAACAATAATCTAAATGGGGTAGAATTAACGTCGTCACAAGCTTAATCCTCAGCTTAGTAGAGAGAGAGTTTTTATTGAATTTCAGCTTGTGTAACGCCCAGTGAACTTTTTGCGAAACATGCATGACATGCTTCCTCCAAGAGAGATTAGATTCAAACCAAACACCAAGATTTCTCACCTCACTAACAAATGGTATTTGTATGTTGTTAACCATTATAGGAGGAAGAAGGTTGAAATCAAAGTTGTTGACATTTCTACTACTGCCAAATATTATAACCTTAGATTTGGCAGGGTTAAGTTTCAGACCGTTTGCCGATGCATAATTGAAAATAGCATTAGCGTCCACAGAGATTAAGTTAAGATTGTGAAGAATGTCCGGAAGGTGGACACGCACGATAAATCTGGATGTCATCGGCAAACATCATGTGTTCGGTATATAACAAGACCTTACTTATATCATTAATGTACAAGGAAAATAAAGGTGGACCCAGCACAGAACCCTGAGGTACACCACATAACGTAGGTAGCCACGACGAGAGATTACCTGCATCATCGATCACAGACTGAGAACGACCCGTTAAGTATGAATAGATCCACATGAGAACAAGGTCAGAAAAACCTAACTCTTTCAGTTTAATCAGAAGTTGAAGATGCGGGACTGTGTCAAACGCCTTACTGAAATCAAAAAGGACCATGATCATTACCAGCCCACTGTCAATCGCCTTCTTAATGTCATCACTAACACGCAGAAGTGCCGACTGAGTGCTGTGACTTGGACGATATGCGGATTGTCTTGGATTTATAAGATCATGCTTGATTAAATAGTCCATGATCTGCGTGGCAACAATCCTCTCAAGAATTTTAGACAATTCAGGCAGATTAGCTATTGGTCGCGTATCAGACGGAGATGAAGGAATACGGATCTTAGAGAGAGGACGGATAAGTGCCTGCTTCCACTGAGATGGAAATGAGGAAGTTTCCAATGAACGGTTGAATAAGGTAGTTAGACACGATGAAATTGTAGGCCAAGCTATTCGCAAAATATAGAGAGGTATGCCGTCTGACCCTGACGCATAAGAATGAAGAGGTCCCACAGAAATGAGTCTATGGACCATATCTGGCGTTATAGTGGAGAAAACAAACTCCGGACGATGGGATGGACAAACTACCTGGTCTATAGCAAAAATAAAATCAGTGTATGAGCAAGGTAACAAATCAGCAGAAACTGAAATGTAAAAAGAATTTAATTGATCTGGTGTGAAAAAATGTAGAGGAGAAACCAAGGTTGATTTTACAAGACCAAGGCGAGCCAACTCTCTCCAAAGTTTTGCTGGATTAGTAATGTTTTTGAAAGAATCAAATTGAAATTCGCTTTTGGCACGTTTAATGTCGGCATTCAGTTGGTTGCGAAAAAGTCTATAGGTGTTGTAGCCAAGTAAACTGCCAGAACGCTTTGCCTGCTTATATAATTGGTTGCAAACACGC